TGAATGGGAAACTCTAAAGTTTAGTTTCCCCAGAGAGCTGAGCACAGCCATCCTCATAAAGCTCTGAGATGAGCCTGGGATGCTGTAGGCCAGTAAGCACCAGCTGCCAACCAGGGAAGCAAAATCCTGCTTCTTGGCTGTCATAGTCCTTTCTATCCTGAAAGCTGTTGGTGGCATATGTAGTTGTGGATGAGAAAGACAGAGGAAGTTTGTGTTTCACTCTGTGGTTGAATTAAGTATTTGGAAAGGCCCAGTTACAAACTAGGCCCATGGCACCTGTACCACAACTGATATAAAATCATGGGGCTGCTGTCACATAAATTGCCTACTTTTTTTTTAACATGAAACTGTTGAGCACCAAACAGGCTCTGCAATTTTAAAAACAAAAGAAAAACAGTTAAAAGAAGCAAGAATAAATTATCAGTGCCTTTTAGGAAAACTATTTGCCTTTTGAGGACAATTTCACCCCTTTCAGAAAGTGAATCTGACCCCAGTGTAATCAACAATAGTCCTTCCTCACACTGACCCTGTGCAGCCTGGACCAGAACATAAATGTCAGGAAGAACAGGAGAGTGAGGCACATCAAAACCCAAATCCCTCTGCAGACTGTTTAAACCTCAATCAAGAGACAGAATTCTTACCTCTTGCTCTCCTTACTGATAAGAGACATCAGAAAGTAGCAATTGGATTTAACATGTGCTTATGCCAAATCAGAAAAACAGCAAATGCTGCTGGTGATACATACAGTGCATTTACAAAGAACAAATCTGTATTATTAGGTTTTGGCCCATACAATTCTCCAGATATTTGACTTTCTTCTCTTACCTTGGATGACATGATGTTTTTCACCTCCTCATCAGCAGTCGTTTGTGTAACAGCAATGTCAGGATTGCTGCAGCTTATCACTCGGCTCTGCAGAAGTTTGCTCCCAACAGACACTGCGGAAGTGCGTCCAAATGTGTAGTAACGAGACTCTGTCAAAATGGCACTACTGCCTGCACCTGCCCATAGGAAGATGTTTGAACTAAGACTAAACGACATATATATGAAACAAACATGAGATTCAAGATAGCTTTGCTTAGTGCTGTTACAGCATCTGCACTTTGAACAGCATAAAGCTCCTGAAAATCTCACCACCAGCTGCTTCATTAACAAATTACACAGGCATTGAATGACAAGGTGCAGATGTTTTCTCAGTCAACAGCTCACAGGATGATTGCACGAGAACTAACAAAAGATTAACATGGCTACCTGAGCAGCAGCACTAATACAATAGCCCTTTCTTCTTCCCACCAACCTTTTTTAATTTGCTGTAGACTGAGACAAGTTCACAAGCCTAAACACAAAACACCACCTTCAACACACAACATTTAACACCATGTTCAAAGTATCCAAGGAAGCAAGGAACACTGCCAGCAGGATTTTCACTAAATGATTACCTAGTTTTCAGCTTCCGCAATGGACCTTACTTTTTCTAAGATGAAGAACTTGGCAAGTGAAGGCAGGTTCAGAGATTTTAGCATATCCTAACATCAGTTTAAACATCCCTCAAGGGAGATTTAGATTAATATTTGAAAGAGAAAAGGATCTATGTAGCTTTAGCTCCCACAGTGACCTTGGTGCTAAGTGACCAAGCTGCTGCCCATCATTTATCAGCAGTCCTGGATGACTGGGGAGGTCCCAGCAGATTGGAAGTTAGACAATGTAACATCCATATATAAGAAGGGACGGAAGGATGATCTGGGAAATTACAGGCCTGTCAGTTTGACTTCAGTGCCAGGGAAGCTGATGGAGCAGATCATCCTGAGTTCCATTATGCAGCACATGCCAGACAATCAGGTGATCAGGCCCAGTCAGCATAGGTTTATGAAGGGCAGGTCCTGTGTAACAAACCTGATCTCCTTCTACGACAGGTGACCTGCTTGTTGCATGAGGGACAGGCTGTGGATATCATCTACCTCAACTTTAGTAAGGCATTTGGTACTGTTTCCCACAGCGTTCTAGAGAAATTGACTGCTCTTGGCTTGGATGGGCATGCACTTTGCTGGGTGAAAAACTGGTTGAATGGCCAAGTCCAGATGGCCAAGTCCAGAGAGTTGTGGTCAATGGAGTTAAATCCAGTTGGCAGCCAGTCACGAGCAGTGTCCTCCAGGGCTCAGTACGGGGGCCACTCCTGTTTAACATCTTTATCAATGATTTGGATGAGGTGATGGAGTGCACCCTCAGTAAGTTTGCAGATGACACCAAGCGGGGTGGAAGTGTCGATCTGCTTGAGAGTAGGAAAGCTCTGCAGAGGGATCTAGATAGGCTGGATCGCTGGGCCAAGGTCAATTACATGAGTTTCAATAAGGCCAAGTGCTGGGTCCTGCACTTTGGCCACAACAACCCCATGCAGTGCTACAGGCTTGGGGAGGAGTGGCTGGAAAGCTGCCCGGCAGAAAAGGACCTGGGAGTTGATTGACAGCCAGCTGAACATGAGCCAGCAGTGTGCCCAGGTGGCCAAGAAGGCCAACAGCATCCTGGCCTGGATCAGCAATAGTGTGGCCAGCAGGAGCAGGGAGGTGATCGTGCCCCTGGTGAGGCCGCACCTTGAATATTGTGTCCAGTTTTGGGCCCCTCTCTACAAGAAGGACATTGAGGTGCGGGAGAGGGTACAGAGGCGGGCTACCAAGCTAGTAAAGGATTTGGAGCACGTCTCATGTGAGGAACAGCTGAGGCATCTGGGGCTGCTCAGACTGGAAAAGAGAAGGCTGAGGGGAGACTTTATCACTCTCTGCAACTACCTGAAAGGAAGTTGTAGCAAGGCGGGGGTCAGTCTCTTCTCCCTAGTAACAAGCGATAGAACAAGGGGAAATGGCCTTAAGATGCACTAGGGGCGGTTCAGGCTGGATATTAGGAAGAATTTCTTTACTGAAGGGGTTGTTAGGCATTGGAACAGCCTGCCCAGGGAGGTGGTGGAGTCACCATCCCTGGAGGTGTTTAAGAGACAGGTAGACATTGTACCTAAGGACATGGTTTAGTGGTGTTGACAGAGCTAGGACAAAGGTTGGACTCGATGATCTTGAAGGTCTCTTCCAACCAGAACTGTTCTATGATTCTATGATTCTAAATCACTTTATATATAGCAATTTATCATATGAATCCTATAGGCTTTAGCACAATGGATTGTAGTAGAATAACAGAATGGTTGAGGTTGGAAGGGACTTTTTGTCCACAACTGGTCCAACTCCCCTGCTCAAGCAGGGCCACCTAGAGCTGGCTGCCCAGGACTATATCCAGACAGCTTTTGAGTATCTCCAAGGACGGAGACTCCACAACCTATCTGGGCAACCTGTTCCACTGCTTGGTCACCCCCAGAGTAAATAGTGTTTCCTGATGTTCAGAGGGAACCTCCTATGTTTCTGGTTGTGCCCACTGCCTCTGGTGCTGAGGCACCACTGAGAAGAGCCTGGCTCTGTCTTCTTTGCACCTTCCCTTCAGGTCTTTGTATACATTGATAATCCTCCCTGAGCCTTCCCTTCTCCAGGCTGAACAGTCCCAGCTCTCTCAGCCTTTCCTCATGGGAGAGATGCTCCAGTCCCTTCATCATTTTACTGGCCCTTTGCTGGTCTCAATCCAGTATGTCCATGACTCTTTTGTACCGAGGAGCCCAGAACTGGATATAGTACTCCAGGTGTGGCCTCACCAGTGCTCAGCAGAGGAGAAGGATCACCTCCCTTGACCTACTGACCAACATACAGGGTTTTATCTGCTGATGACATCCCTAATGTGATGACAGAGCTTGGCCCTGTGCTACTTGGCACTAAGTTAGTTTGCATGGAAAGTAGTTTACTGATGTACAGGTCAGTAAGAAATTGGCAACTTAAGGACATTTTAATTTCTGGAGGAAATTCCTCTAAAGAAAACTTAAGCTTAGGAGATGTCTCTCACTTTGATCTTCATGAAGCTACAGCATTGCATATAGCTGTGGTCCTCTCACCTCAACCCTGTTTCTTAAATAAGTGACTGAGAGTAGAAATTATGGGGGGCAAGTCCATGTTGCTCTTTGCAGCACTGAGATCCCTGACCTTCGTCTGAGAAAAACGATATATCTGAACAGTGCTAAGCTTAAACAGTATACAGTCTGGGTCTGAGAAGTTGTGTTCGCTGTTTTACAGGCCAGTTCCCTAAGTCCTCGTCTCAGAAGCACTATGCTGAACAGCATATATCAAGAAAAAATAATACTTTTTCAACACTTGCACCAATATTACCTGGTTTGACTACTTCTTTTTGAGGATCTGGCAGACGAAATACATAGTAGACATAAGATGCCAGGAGGCAGTTCCTCCCATGCTGGTCTTTGCTCAGGTCTTTGCTGTTGTGGAGACTGTTCACTATTGCAACCACAGATTCAAACGCAAACTGTGAGAAGTTGGCTGTGAAACAAAGGCAGGAATTAGTCTCAGCACTGAAGGGTATAATATAACTAGGTGAGGGCATTCTTTGTACCAACAACAACTGATCCTACATGCCTTAATTCAGCCCTTAACAAATTCAGAGCTCTACACAGCAATTGTTATACCTGACCAGACCCAGGGTCTACATAGGCCAATATCCAGTTATCTTCAGTAAACCCACTGACTTTCAACCCAATCACTGCTACTCCATCACTTTGTGCTACATAACAGCAGACCATAACTGCTAATTACCATTTCTAGCAGCCCTCATGAATTTCGTACAAAATACCTACTTGAAGAACACCAAGACTCATTACTCTCCAGCTGACAAATGCAAGCTAGCAGGCTTGTAATTCACAAATATTATAGTGGATGATGTGTTGATTACCAAAATGAGATAGGAAATAAACTATACCACTGTCTCCAAGTACGCCTTCTGTCCAGAGTTAACATATGTGATAGGCAACTGACAGCCTCAGTAACAGAAAAATCTGTGTGCATTACTACACCCTCTCTGTTTTTGTGCTCACCCAATTTTGTCTGAAGATATTTGGGCAGAGGATATGATGCAGTCAGCAATGTCAGCTGCAGGGTAAGTGATTTTGCTGGTGTTTTCCTTGCAAAACAACTGAATTCCAAAGGAAGTTAAACCACAACTCACTTTCTGACCTGTATTTCCAGATCATGTAAACTACTACAATTTCACATGCCTCCTAACCAGAGTCTGAGAGTCTTATATGTAGGGGGAAAAGGAGAGAAGGCAGAAACTCAGTTAAACCTGATTAAATTGTGCAGTGAAACTGTGCATTGAGAAGTACAACTCTTTCTGAAGTGGACTAAATACTAAACCCAAGACTGGATATTTAGCAATCATTTCCCCCACAGGTCTAGGTTGCTTCCACTGCCACTTGAAGGCCACGCATCAGTGAATACCTGTCTGGCCAGCTATGACCATGGGCTGTACAGCCAGCTGGAAAAGTTTATCTAGTACCAAATGTAAAAACAAGACAAGAGGTTCAAGACGTGAAGAATTCAAACAGATAATGCTGAGTTTCAATTCATGTTCCAGTGTAGCCTCTGTAATCTTCTGGTCCATCAGTCGAATGGGGAATGTCACCTGACTTTCCAGAGAATGGCACAGAGTGAAGAACTTCTCCAGGTGATTGTCCTGCAAATACAGTGCACTCACAGTCAACAAAGTTGATGTAGTTCAGGCTGCTGCTAGCTATGCAAAGCCTGATTGTCCCATCTGATGGGATGAGAGAAAATATTTTCACCCTTCTGGCTTTCAGTGGTGGCTAGCCCTAGAGATCAATTTGCAAAGCAGCTGTCACAGCCTTTTGTTTGTTCCTGTTCATCTGGCTCAAATTCAGACTCTGGTTAGATCAGATTAAAAGCAGAAAAGCTAAAGCACTCACGAAAGTGATTGCTTCATTTAATGTTCCCTCTCTCTGATAAAACTCCATCATGTCATAGGTCTATATTCCCTCTGCCACCCACACCTAAGTTCCAGCTACATACAAGTTATGTGCCTTATGAGTATACCTTACTTGTATTTAAAAGGCAAGCTGCAAAGGTGTGATGGACCTGCTTCAGACAGAGGGTCCCCAGCTGTAAGGATATAGCTATCAGGGTTAACTAGAACGGGATAATGCATAGGAGACACTGTAAAGCAGCAGAAACAAAATAAAGTTGCTCTGCTTCAAACCAGTATTCCAAAAAGATGGGCAAAGTTCCAATTTCCTACCACATTTAAATGACCAGAATCGTAGAGTTCTCATTCAGCATTCGGCTTGTGTCCCCACACCACATGGCACTGATGGCTGAGCTCTCTAAGGCATTCTGTCTGTACAACCTGTCCCTAGAGGCAGAGAGGTGCTAGGTCTCTGCAGATGTGGACACATTGTTCAAACTAGCCTTGCAGAACAGAAGATGCAGACTGCAGAAACTGGCACTGTGCCCTGCCAGTATCTCAAACACAGCCTAAGCAGACCCTTGCTGAGCTGAGAGGACATCAGGTTGCCTATTGCTTGATGTAACTTGCTGCTGAGAATGTTCATTTGTTCACTTGTACCAACAGATTTCATTTCACCAAAGGATTTAATTCACTGAGGATATCAGGTTATTTCCATAGCTGTTAGTTGGTTCTAAACCTGTGTGGCCTTAAACGTCTCCATTTCATAAAGCCCCTAAGTCGTCCTGGACATCTGAATTCTTTCTGAAATGAAAGTACAGCTGTGTGTTGCTTCTGATGCATTACCTGAGTGTGAACAGATGAAACAGCTTGCACTTCAACATTGAAAACACCCTTGTGTCCTTCAACCCATTTAATAGGTGGTGTCTGAGATGGAACTTTCTGTGATGGAAAATAAATAACGGGGGTCATCATTCTCCTTTTAACGATCAAATAGAAAGTCTGTTTACACAGGGGTCTACAGGGTATTCATGCTATTCACTTCATTTTAGATATCGAAATTCAGTGCCATACAGCGGACCACAGCTAGGCATCTTCTTGTTCTCATAGACTAGATGGAGAGAAGTTGATGGCATTGAACAGGGAAATTTAGAGCACTTCAGCTGGATGCCTAGCACAGACAGTGCAAATATACATCTTCTCATAGGATATTTTTAAGGTTAGAAGTTCCCAGTTAAAGCACTGTCAAAGGCACTCCATGGTGACCCTCTGGACAGTTTCCTACTTGCCATATTTACTCAGAGGGCACAGTTTCCTGCTCCAATAGCAGCACCTGATTCCATTTCTCCTCCCTCTCCCACACAGCCACCAAAAAATGAGCAAATCATCCTGTAGAAGAAAGCAAATTATTGACTTGGACACCCTCTAAACAAATGTATCCCTGATTAGACAATTTACAAAGATTTGCTTGGATAACTAACTTTAAAAACCACAATATAACAATATAAAATAATAATAATAACACTAGTAACAATGAGAACTAGATTTTTCTCCAGCGCTTTCCCCCTTTAAAGTAGAAAAAGGAGGTATTGTCTATAAGCAGGCAGCAATGTTAGATGGTAAAACATGCTGTTCATCTACGTTAGGAAAATATTATCTTTTCATAATTTTCTTTGTTACCTCAGGAGAGTGAATTGAATAGTGGAAAGGCAGCTTATCCAATGCAACAGGGAGACAATAATGTCCAGTTTGAAGACGGTCATTTAATAGAATTGGCAGCCACTGAAACAAAGGAAAACACAGCAATATTCATGACTACACATGATTAGGGCTATTTATCTAATTTGTTATGTACAGTGAACAAAACAACAAATGAGATATTGACCCAAACTTCTCTGCTCTAACCCATTCAACAGTAATTTATTTGCATTTTAAATTCACTGATAGCTACTGCAGAAAAATATACAAGACTGCTTTACAAACCACCCCTTTGGAAGAAAATGAACACTGAGCTTTTCATGTGTGACATACATTTTTCTAATAAGTGCTACCAGAAGGATTTAGTAGAGTCCATGTTTTTATTTAAAAAATCACATTATGTTGAATAGACTGATCCTTGGCTTTGAAGCACATCAACAGAGTTAAATTTTTTGCTAAGGATAAACTGAACATCTTGGTCATGGTCACCACGAGGATTAAGGTCAGAATAACTCATCATAACTGTGTACTGATATTTGGACACACTTGATTTTTCTCCTACTCAAGTCAGAAAGAGGCTGTACATTTGAGTATCACAAGGCAGAATATTTTGTATTTAGGTGAACAGAAGCTTGACAATTAAGTCCTCACCTATGTCAAGCCTTGCTCCTGAACTACAAACTTATTTACTTCTTACCAATCCCATTGACATTGGTTGGACTATATGTGCCTATAAAAGAAAGCCCATTTGAAAGGATTCTCAGTACTGGGATCAAAAAACAAATAAGAAACTTCACAGCAGGAACACATTGAAAGCACTCGTCTGGCCCCACATCTCAAGTGCTGACCATAGCACTAGGACGTTTTCAAATCTGAAATATCATCATCATCTATGCTTTCCTCTTATTTTAAAATCTTTCCAGTTAAAAATAATGATTGATAAAGAAAAGTTAAAGAGAATATTCTACATATGTATTTCTTAAGCTAAAACATGCTAGTCTCAACATGAAGATGATGAATGCAAGAGAACTACATTTTACCTTCCGGATTCTTTCTGGTTTTTAATTTTGATCTGGGTAAAAGATATTTTAAAACATAAACAATATGCCATATAAAACCTAATTGAAAACAACTACATTAGTTGTTACCTTGTGTATAAACATGTTAGAGAACAGTAAATAATTGTAACTGCATATGTTTTAGGGTTTTTTTTACAATAAATAGAATCTAACAGAATTAGGTGATATGCTATAAAGCACTGCTGTGGCAAATATTTAGATGCATAATCATCTTCAGTTGCGTCAGGTGAATTCATCAACTTCAAAAACACTTAACAATGTAAAATTACAGGATGAGGATGTAACACAGCACAGGCTGCACCTGGTTTCTGTGAATTAACATTAGGACCTTCTACTGGTTTTGATGTATTACCATAACCAGAAAGGGACTATATGACAAAATTCTTGACAAGCAAAGAGTCTTTTTGTATAATGGATGTATAATTATACACGCACACACTCTTATATATCACACGGAACTTACTGAATACCCGAGAAGGGTTTCCACAGATGCTCCTTGCTTTGGCTGGCAGCTGATGTGATAGAACGTGAACAATAGATGGTGTTTCTCTGTGAGTTTTGCTGGCAGCTTAATTTTCACTTCTTCATAAAAGTCAGGGGACCTGTTTAAAAAAAATGCCAAGCACATTTACAATATGAGACCGAGCAGAAGGCAAATTTGACAGTAGGCTTTTAGATGCTACAGTTATAAAAACTGTAAAAATCCTGAAAACAGCCTCAGAGCTGAGTTGAACAAAGCACATACATACAGCTATACTTATGGACTATCTACAGCTTTTAATCAAGGAAGGCATAGATGGTATCAGCTGGAATGTTTCAGCTTTCACCTATTTCTATACTTTCAAAACCAGTCAATCTTAATTTTGTGTTTCAGCATATTTATTGTGCAAATCCTAAATCCCAAGTCTACACTCATGGTAACGAGAATGCCCCTTCAGCTCTTTTAGATCTATGATTTTATCAAAGTGAATGCTGTTACAAAGTTGTGCTGCTGCTTCCTGCTCCTGCTCCTTAACCTTCAATTAAGCTCTGAAAAGCTCCAAACAAGAAAAGCAACGGTCGCTTACACAATGGTCACTTATGTAGATGCCTGTAGCAATCCAAATTAGATATGACAAATCCACATAAAATGTGTATGTTTAAAATGGATTAGTACCAGCAATCCTTGATGAACTATGTAGGCTAAGAATTATACAAAGAGGTCATGTTTAATACTTCTCAAGTCATAAAAATAGTAACAATACTTACTTATTATGATATGTGATAGCTGTGTAGATTTCTTGCACAAATTCTGGACCTGAAGATTTCCCAAAAATTACCTACATTAAGAAGAAAAGAAAGTAACAACAGTCAGGTCTAAAGCATTTTAATTGTCATCATCTTATATAAATTTTAAGACAGTACCTGAAGGCCAAAATTGACTCTTTAATTTTATCTTTGCATGTTGACACAAATGTCTTATTACCAAGCATCTTCCCCACACACCATTCAGGGTAAAACACCAGGAAAATGGAGCAGGGGTCATTTCCAGAGCCACTGACACTCCACTGTGTAAAAGATGGTGTTACATTCACATGGCATAGCTCCAGCTCTGGAAGAAACATGGCTTGAGAAAACACTGCACTGATGCTCTGATTTCAGTTCCAGAATTGATGTGGAATAAGGCTGCAAAGTATGCACTGTGCAGTGTCAGCACACTGATAAAGGCTGGTCAGATGTCACTCGTTGCTCCAACATATTGTTGGATTAAAGTTCCTCAAAGTAGTATTTCCACTCATATTTCCACCTCTAACACATAAAATCACAAAAGATTTTATCCCAATGCCATTCTCAAACAGCCAATTACACTGTCTGAAAATTTCCCAAAAAGATCAGGCTGAAGCAGACATCTAGGTTAGAGCACTTCAAACTGAACATCTGAAGCCTGGTAAAGCTGAAGAGAGTATCTTGTAATCAGAAATGTTGAATAACCTGAACATAGACAGTGCTGCCTGCTCTGCTACTAGTGCACAGACCTGCCCTAATACACACTGTGTTTCAAACACGGAAAACTCTACCTACACTGCACGATTGTGTATCCTTCAGATCCAGGCGATGAAAATCCCAACTTCTAACTTCCAGTGTTACACCTGAGCATTCACGTACACATAGTGCATGCAGAGGAGTTACACTGGAAGATGGACTACATCATTCTTCAAAGGTCTCTGAAGCTCTGTGAATTTTACCATTAGAGTTTCCAACACGGCATTGATTTAATACAACAGGCCTCTGTTCCACTTGAGTGACAGGTCTTTCCTGTTGTAAGGACTACAGCCCTGTCTTCTGATAATGACAAACTTCACAAGTTGGGCTTCCTAAGGCCCCACTAGCAACTGTGGTGATGGGAAGTAAACAATGAGTTATCTCTTCAGAAGTTCCCCAGGAATGCATGTAACCAGAAGTCTGCTAAGAAATCTCAGCATTTACTACCGGCATTGCACAGGATGGGTCTTCACCACACATAAACTGGATCTTGATGGTAATGTTTCTTGCAGAAGCCAATCGATTAGCAAAATTCAGCCTCTGAGGGTAAACATAGAGGAGATTTCTGGAAGAAAAGGAAGAATAAAATGGGTAAATGGCAAGCATTTGCATTTCAAAATGATATGCATAAACTAGCATTTTGCTTATTCCTCTTCCTATCCCTCAATTCCACCTAGATAGTGAAAGCTTTGCCAGAACTCCATTTGAAAAGTTCACAAGAAAAAGGTAAGTTCTTGCTGTGACATGTAGAATATCCAGTGTTGAAGGTTTCTCATACAGTAAGCTATGTCTTTCAGAAGGCAGTCTTCCTATCTTTTACTTTTCGAAATGTCTAATTCCACATTACAAATGAATGAATATCTTTGCTTGATGTAATGAAAAGCAGGAATCTCTCAAGAAAGCAGCTCCCTTCTCAGCTGCGAAGAATCAGATTTTGGAAGGGCTAAGGAATCACTCAGATGTGACAAAAACAAGTAAATCAGCAAACAAAACCAACAACAGAAGTTCATACATTCCTAGCTTATAGCAACAAAATGGCATGTATTTCTAGATTACACAACTCAAAAAGCAGTATCAATGAACCTGAGTAAATATAAACAAGAAATTTTGAACTATAATTCTAGAAACTGACATTTTTTAGTAATGAATATGAATAATGCTTTAAAATACAGCATTCTTTGCTTTTTACTAGCTTCTGTACATGGACGGATCATTAAACTTAAAAAGCATCTTTCATTTCTGTAGGGAATGTGGCACCATAGATGGTCTTCTCAGTTCAAAGCCCAACAATTCTGGTAGAAGAGTCAAAATGCTAACAGGAAGCTTTTTCTCCAGTGAAGTCTATGGCAAGTTTAAGAGTTCAGCTAGACCTGGATTGCACATATTCTGGCATCACGATTATGTCTATTTGATGTCTCATTTTCCCCATCTGGTATAGGATTCTCACTGTTTGTCCTCTGAGTGTAAGGAATAAGACTAGTGTCGGTGCAAGCATACTGGCTTCCAATGAGAGACAGTCAGAACTACTCATGGGCTTTCATGCTTTCTTTTTGTCTGTGATAGTCAGGAGCTACACACAAAATTGCCCTGCCCTTATCACAAATATCTCCTCAGCCATCCTCAGCTGAAAATGTGGAGCAGCTTTGGACGGTGTTGTCATAAAGTCAGACAGTCCATATTCCATTTGTTGTATCCCAACAGCTGGAAAACTGTGGTTGATTCTCCTTATTGCCATGTGTCACAACGTGACAATACCCTTCATCTACACAGTCCAAGCTACTTTGCTAACCAACAAATGCTACGTGGGCCATTGCATGCCTTGGCAAACAAACAAGCATGTAACTTGCCTTTCCCTTTGTTCAGAGTAGTACTCCTGCCTGCCACACTAATGCACTTTCTTCCTTACCTTCTCAAATGCAATTTCTGCTCTGCCAAATTCTCTCCAAGATGACATTAGGAAAAGCTAAGTGAAAGAGAGAAATATATTGGTAACCTCCACTGAATTATGCTTGGGAGAATGACGTATTAAATGAAGGGTGTTATCAATATTACATCTGCCAGAGGTGAAGAAATACATGTATTGGAGACTGCATAATCAAGTCATTGCTTCATTAATCTGCAGCCCAGCAGAAGATGTCACAAATCCATATAATGTCCCTGAGCACTGGATTTTGCATTTAGATGTGACATGAGATGAAAGATATGTAAAATCACAGAGAGCTCTCTGCTGACTACAAAACCAAGGAAGCATTATTCCAGCAAGTACTGTACCAAAGAGCTAAAGCTTGTGCCACTTATGCTCAAGCAGTTTTAGAGATCTTGCTTACATGTGTATTAAACCCATCAGCACTGAGGAAGAACAGAGGCAAATGCTGACTCTGGATATCCTGCAGAGATGAAAGTGATGACTGATTTTTTAAAGCAGGAAGGTGGGGAGATGATCAAAAAAGGTTCCTTCACACATGCATGAATTGTAGACCCATTGCTGACCACTGCATAAGTGCTTCTGTCTGCATAAGAGCATCTGTACCCTCCAAAAGCCTGAGAGGAAGCAAAGATAAGGAGCATTTCCACATGGCAGTTAGCAGGGGTTTCTGGGCAACATACAACACTGTCTTGCAAATAACAGGACAGCTAGCATGCCCATAAGGATGTGGTGAGCTCCAGGAGGCATTGTGTCTCCCTTGAGACTCTGCACTGAGCAGAAAAATTCAAACATGTCACAGCTTTTGGTCAGTGTGACTAAACTTCTCCCCTCACTCCCTCTACAGAAAGTGTAGGGCTCTACCTCCAGATACGGTCACATGTGCTTACAAAAAGCAAAAGAGCTATTCAGAGTCAGTATGGGTCTACAAGAGCCATGGCAGAGCACTCAACTTCACTGAGACCAGAGTCCCACAGGACAGCAGAGTTCTGAATAAGGCATTGTGGTGGGTTGACCCTGGCCAAAACGCCAGGTGCCCACCAAAGCCACTCTATCACTCCTCCTCCTTAACTGGACAGGGGAGAGGGAAAAAAATAACAACAGGCTTGTGGGGTTGAGATCAGGACAGGGAGATCACTCAGCATTTACTGTCACGGGCAAAACAGACTCGACTGAAGGGAAATGTAATTTATTGCCAATTAACTCAGACAGGAGATAAACCCAAATCTTAAAACGCCTTCCCCCCACCCCTCCCTCCTTTCCCCGGCATAACTTTGATCCCGATTTTCCTCCCTCCTCCCCCTAGAAGCACAGGGGGGAAAACAGAGAATGGGGGTTAGGGTCAGTTTATCACACTGTT